GGCCAAAAATCTGGACCCCACGGAGGACCCACCCGAAGAGCATTCACTTTCTCAACGTCCAGCGGGATTCATGATCTCAGAGAACACAGTCTCCGACTTCAATCTCTCATTGCTGACCGTTGATCTTGACATGTTTTCAACTGACCCAGTAAATACTTCATCATCATCGGTGGTCGTTGCCTCTCCATGTAGAAGAGGAGCAGAGGGACTGGCTAACGCTGCCGGGAGCAACCCACCACCACCGTGAGCCATCTTCTCAGCTGCCTCTTGAAGTTGTAGCGCAAACTCAAGGCCCCACACAACATCATTCATTCCTGGACGATCGATACCATTATCACGCAAGCAACTATCACCTACTTCACCAAACTTCCTCAAACACTCTGGCGCAATCTCACCCTTTAGATTAGGATCAACAATCCGATCAAGGGTCCCTTTCCTATAAGAATTTCGGGCCCACTTGGCCAAACTCACTGGCTCCTCGGGAAAATTTAGAATTATAGCTGGTCTAGCACATAAAACCTCAAATAAAACAACACCAAATGAGTACACGTCGGATTTTTCTGTCAATTGTTGTCGTTTATAATATTCTGGATCAATATACCCGAAACTACCCTTCACCACTGTACTGACGTGGCTATGACCCACATCCTTGGGACCCAATTTGGATAACCCGAAATCAGAAACCTTAGCCACCCATTTCTCATCCAATAAAATGTTGGTGGACTTCACATCACGGTGAATGATTGTGCGTTTCGCACCTGTGTGGAGATAATGTAGTCCCCTTGCAGCGCCAATGCAAATCTGAAGGCGTTGCTTCCACGGAATGGGTTGTTTCTTTGATTTGTAAAGATGATCACGGAGGGTCCCGTGGGCCATATAATCATAAATCAAGATCATCTCACGGTTGTCGTTGCAATAACCGATCAACGACACCAGATGGAGGTGGCGTAACTTCGATAGCATACCGATCTCTGTTTGGAACTCGCGGGCCCCTTGATTTGATGATGGGTTCAATCGTTTGATCGCAACGGTGGTTGCACCGTTGTCGATGTGGCCCTTATACACATTACCAAATCCTCCTGCCCCGATGACAAAATTGTCATCGAAGTTGCATGTAGCTGATGTGATCTCCTCAAGTGAAAAGCGTCTGCATAGATCAGACGGTAGTGATGAACCGCTGGTTTTTGTGGACTTTGAACCGTCAGATAAGGGGACCCACGACGACTTGGGCTGTGTTGAGCCCAAGGCTTTCACTCTCCTCCGTCGTCGAAAAATCAAGAAACCTAAGATGAAGACTAGAACAGACCCTCCTCCGACTACGGTGCCGATAATGACCGGCAGACTAGATGTTTTTTTATTGTTCTTCTTCTGCGGTGACAAGGTGGGTGGTCCTGGCAGTGGACTGAGTACAAGTTCAGGGTTTGCCCCGGCGAGACTGCCGTCTTTTCCACTCAATTTGAAGATTTCTAAACCATTCAATATAGCATCAGCGTACTCAGGTCTAAAGTCGAGCTCAGGGTACATAGCGAGCCACAAGTCTTGCTTGCTCTGGCGACCATCTGGGTCGGTGACCATGATGACGTAGTCTTTGAACACTGGGATTCTAGTGCCACCACTCCACTGGATAACATCTGCTCCTCTCTGTGCCGTTTGATTGTTGATGTATATTATAAAAACCCTTTGGTTCTCGAGGGTCACCTCCAATTGAATCTCGCAGAAATGGAGTCTGAGAAGATAATAAAACCCAGAATCAACAGGAAATTTCCATGTCAGATTGTAACTTTCACTGTCGTTGCCCATGGTCCTTGAGGTTGTGTAAACGATCTGCGGTGCAGTGTAAGGTGGTGTGTCCTTTGTATATTGGATTGAGACTTCCCTGTGAGGTGGAAACCCATAAGCTGAGTAGGTGTAATCGTCGTCCGGAAGCCATAAACGAAACATTCCGGTATCATTGGTTATTGAGACCTCATTACCGCCAACATTTAATCGATAGAGAGTCTCAAGAGCAGAGCTGTTATCAATATTGAAAACTATTTGGTTCGGGACTAGTAGAATTTGATGATCACTGCCGGGAATGTAGAGATTTTCCGGCATTGAAACGACTTCAATGCCGTTAACGAAGGCGTAAGAGTTCGGAGACGGCAAAAAGGTTATGTTCAGTATCTGGTTGTTCCTAACGTTGACGATGAATTCCTTTCTTAGGGAAGCAACTGCGGGTTTCATGGCAGAGACAGTGAGAAAGGCACTGAAGTTGCTTAAGAGGGTGTAGCCGCCGGAGGTGACGTAGAAGAAAGAGTTGGCTATGTCCAGGTTAGAGTAATTAACTGGGTAGAAATAGAGACGAATGAATTTTGGTCCGATGGAGACTGGGAAGGTGTAGGTGAATTGAGAGTGAATGATACGAGCAGTCATGTAGGGGACTCGATTGACAGAAGGGTCTTGCTTGGATGCTGTAGATTCCAAAGATGTGTTTGAAATGTTTGACGGCGAGAATTTGGAGCGGGCATCTCCGCTCCAGTTCCGGCCTTCGGCATCGTTCAAACTAGAAGATGAACCACAGTCGAGGAGAAAGTAGTCGCTCGGATTGTAAGGTGTCGCGTTGGCGGCGGTGGTGTAGAAGAGGAGGTAGAGAAAGAAGGAGATGTGTAGAGTTATGGTGAACATGGGTGGTATGAGCTTTGAAAGATATGGTGTATGATGGTGGTGAGTCTGGTGACTGATGATGAAGCTGAAGGGGTAATGGTGATGAAGAAGTAGAGGTTATGTATAGAAGAAATGTACTGGTAAAAGGCTGCGTGGACTTGGAAGACTTTGGTTTTGGATTGATTCCTGGGCGGCTATAACGCGTTCCCAAGTCAGCTTCGTACTTTTTTCCCCAAGGCAACACCTCAAGATATTTATATGCTAATCACTCAAATTTTTTAATATTTAAAATATTATATGAGTATTGTTATTAGAATATAATTTATACACATAACGAATTATTACCAAAAATATGATAATAAATTTATTAATGCTACAATAAGACTCATCATTAAATATATTTCACTATCTTTTCATTGGTGATAACTCATTATATTACTAAATTAGGTCACAATAGCATTAGTGATATTATAAACAGACCCTTCAAAATTTATACGCAAGTAACACTTAAACCTCTGTCCCGTCTACTATATCCGTTAGTAAATTACAACCAGACTCACTGAAGTTTGTAGATATGTAATACTTAAACCCTTCAATTTTAAAATGTTATAATTAAACTAAAAATACTTCAATCAAAGATAAAATATTAAATATTTTAAATTTTATAACCAAAATTTTTATTCTATTATGACACTTATTAAAATAAAATTAAAAATAAAAATTAATTTTTTTAAAAAAAATCATAGTTAGTATATAATTATATTATCTATTAGAATTTAATTTGGTTGTTTAAACATCTAAAATAAATTATCAGATTACTACAATTAAAGTTAGAATATATTGTTTTCATTATAGTTTGACTCCTATTTTATTTTTTAGTTTTATTCGAATAAATAGTATATTTGTACACTAAATACAATTTTTTTTAAAAAAATTAAATTTTTATTTCAATAAATGACATAATATAACATGAATTTTTTGTCTTATTATGAATGAGTTAGACCCTTGTTTGATTTTTTAATTTTATTCTAATAAATAGTATAATTGTATACTAATTACGATTTTTTTTAAAAATTGACTTTTTATTTTTGATTTTATTTTAATAAATGATACAATAGAACATAAATTTTGGTTATAAATTTAAAATATTTGATATTTTATTTTTAATTAAAATATTTTTGATATAAGTATAATATTTTAAACTTGAGGGATCTAAGTATTATACACTTATAAATTTTAAAAAATATGTGTATAATTTACTACCGAATATATTAACAATTCACAAGAGTCTAAGTGTTACGAGGATATAATCCAGTCACCGGGCAAGATTTTGCACTGTCGTGTGAAATCCTCCGGTCAAAGTCAAATGTTTGGCACGAGAATGATACGAGATAGATCACAAGCTCAAGTACTAAAAAGTGGATGAGAAATGAACGGCCAATGTCTATTATGAGAGCTTGCACCACTTCGGATGAGGACAAAATTGATAATGGCTCTATTACGAGAGCTCTGTTACCTACCCAAGACCCAAATTGCCGATATGTAAATTTTAAAAATTACTAAAATATTTTTTTGTAAGATGGGCCACAACCCTAAGAACTAGGCTTCATGAAATATTCAAACCCTTAATCTATCCTCATGACAAATTTATCAGGTGATTAAACTGCCACTAGGTTAACCTTTTACTCTCAAATGTCGACAAGTCATTCATCAAACATGCGTATAACTATAAATTCCTGTCTACATAAACGGTGAGAAGATCTGGTTTTGTGGGTTTTTTTTTTTTTTGGTGGTGGNGGACAAGACCTACGCCATCCAAAGAACACATTTCAGTCTAAAAGATTAAATATATCCAAAATCTGAATCTTAACCCAAGTAGCAGCCTAAAATTTAGATGGCAAAACAGCAAAAGGAGATATTTACCATAGCTTTTAAGTAAAGTAGAATTTGCCGCCTGGAAATCCAAATATGCATCCAGCCTCTGAGTCAGAAAGATCTTCAAAAGTTGGTATACCAACGCATATTTAGCATCTTTTTCCAATTGTGCCACAGCGGGCATATCCAGCAAATCACACTGCCACGGCCATGCGGAGAGTTGATTAAGTTAAGCACCAGCTGGAATATAATTTAACTTCATTACAGACTACACAGTAACATTTTTTTGACAGGAAACAAGACAATTTCATTAATTTGAAAGCAACATGAATGCTAACGCATATTTGAAAGTTCCGGCTGAAAAAAAACTGCATGTTTGAAAGCAAGCTATAAGAACAAGGAAATTTGAAAGTGATGAAAACAATGGTTCACAATACAGCAAATAATAAAGAATGCCCATACAACAATCAATCAGTTGAAAATCAATCAGTTGAAGACGTACGGAAAAGCTCAGAAGTAATGCCACCAGCCTCAGTGTAAGGACTTCAAGAAATCAGAAACAAAAGCTATGACATGCCTCAAGTTGATTGATCACTATACAGTAGCATTGAAGCTAAGCATATTCATAAATGAGAAGAGTTCAAGCTATCACATTCACCTTATCTACAAAGTGCTCAAATTGCCTTATTGGGTTACCAAATACCAATGGGAAGGTTATTAATGGATCCATGCCAGGCATAACACTGCACAATAATGTAATCTAGCAGAGGGAGGAAAAGGTAAAGCAAGAAAAAGGGATGGACATCTTGTCAACATTTCCTCTTTTCAAAACAATTACCCATGAAAGTTCAATAAGCACAAAATGTGCATTTAAATGGAGAACATTTCCCACTGTAATTGTTGAACTATAAAAGATGCACACAAAAGGACTCAGATAAACACCGTAATGTTTGAGAGTCATTTTTGGGTGAGTCAAGTGTCCGAAGAGTATTACAAACAATACTTACAGGAAGAAAACGCACCAAAGTGACAAACAATAGCAAATGACGCTGGAGATACATTAGCAGTATTTTTAGAAGCACCATATCAGAATAATTATCTGGGCAGCTCAACTCAACTCAACTCAACTAGCCTTTCCTACAACTTCAAGAGAATACATGTGGAAGCATGAAACAATTTTAAAAGACATATCCAAAATAAGAATAAAGGGAACATATACCATACAAAACATGTGTATCAAAAGCAAATCCTAAATTTGTGTACTAATGGATCAAAACCAATTCACTCCCTCTTTGTGAAAACCCTCGCTCCCTCCTCACCCTCCCTCCCCCACACAGCTCACCCTCCAAGTATCATCCTTAAAAAAAAGCAAAAGCAAGATCAATTTAAAATCAGTAGGACAAAACAATACCTGAAACATGTCAGGTGCCTTAACAAATTCAATAATAGTGCGTACAGCTTCTTCCTTCGCTTCGCCCATTGTATGTGCATCTTCACCAGAAAAAGTTGCCAGATACTTGGTCAGAAATTTGAAAGAATCCTTTGCCGAGCTGGAAATATAGGATGATGCAGACAAATTAGATAACTTAATCCACAAAATCAATGAGAAAGAAAAAAACTTAAAAGCCACACAACCAAAGAGAATTAATAGTGCTTCTTCATGAGCCACAATTTCTATATTACCTTTTATTTTCCGTCAAAACATTTGAGATGGTAAGAAAGAGTTCTCTCTGGTCCTTGATCCCAACATTCCATTCCCTCAAGAAACTATCCATCTTTTTGAAAGAAGGTACAATATTTTCAGTGACCTTTCCATTGACTGCCAAATTCAAGGCCTTCATGTAAACAAAGAAACGGCTGTATGGATTCTCCAACAGATTGTAGAGGTTGAACAGGCTGCAAGGGGAAAATGAAATATATGAGACAACACCGCCATAACTCAATAAGCTGAAGTGATTACTGTCAAGCTAAATTACATCTTCAAGCGCAGAGCAGGCTTATCGCTTGGTTGTTGGGCGATTTTTGTGGATATAAGCTCTGCCATCTCATGTGCTTCATCCAGACTTTCAGGTTTCTTGACAAGATTGCAAATAACAGTAAAGATGCACTCAAGATCTGGGGTTTAAACAAAAGTAAAAGCGATAAGGTTAAGATCCAACATAAGAAAAAACTTGAATGTCAATTTTAATTCATTTCGTGCCAGAATTATTTTAGTTAATATAACACATCACTAACAATTAACTATGCCATTGATTTGGTTAATTAGATAACATCCCGTAGCCACTCTTCAGCCAAATAAAATATACTGATTACAACTAACAATAAACTCAGCACTCCTTTTTCATTGTACACAATAGAAATGCTTTTCAGTAT